CAATGGGGCCTTGTAATGGTCCAATACTGTCCCCAGCTGTACTCAACTTGGTACTGCACCATAGTTTTTTTTTATTTAATCTCAATAGTTCAGTGTTTACAATATTAATATGATTGTATTTTTATGTTTACATTGTAAAAACCCATGTCTAGTTGACTCTAATCCTTTGTATTGTCCATACTATACGTTGATTGCTTTTGGATAATCTGTTAGTTTTTGTTAGGTAAAATAAAWCAAAACCTCCATTTTTGACACTTTTCCTGTTTTAGTCTCGCAAAGAGATCCTAAAGATCCACACCCAGCAGTGGAAACCTCCTCCATCTGAAGAGTTTCTGGATGAGCTAGCTGAAAAATGTGTTGGTAAGTGAGACCACAATATATTTCCTTTAGACATTACACTTTTCCCAGTTTACCTTCCTGAATCTCGGCATCTCTCAGGTTACTGTGGCGCTGACATCAAAGCGGTGTGCACCGAGGCGGCGCTGTGYGCGCTGCGCCGCCGGTACCCACAGATCTACGGGACCTCCCAGAAGCTTCTGCTGGACGTCTCCTCCATCTCCGTCAGCAGCTGCGACTTCGTTGCGGCCATCAGGAAGATGAAGCCGGCGTCGCAGCGCTCCACCGCCTGCCCAGCCAAGCCTCTGTCCCCCGTCGTTCAGCCGCTGCTGGGCACCGCCCTCCGTCACATCCTGGAGGTCCTGCAGAGGATGTTCCCACACGCTGAGCAGGGGATGAAGAGGAAGAGGGAGCCAGGTGAGTCCGAGCTGAAAGCGCTGCTGGGTTAACGTTCATCCATCGCATTTACAAACGGCACATCTGTTGTCTGGATGTCAGATCTGACTTCTGGTGTCCTCGATGATGGTCTGATGAGTGGGGAAGAAGAGGGCGTCACAACCTGCAGCATCTCTGCACCCTCCGCCTCCCAGAACAAAAACTTCCTGTACTTTGCCAGGTGAATCTCAGAAAGTTTTATAAACTTTGACATCATTACAGCGTTAACAGAAAGTGTCAGGTCTGAAAAATACCTTTTAATGATTTAGAACAGGCCAGGCCAACTAGTCGATCGCGATCGACCGATCGATCTTTAGCTGGTTAGCAGTAGCTCACGGAGCAATCAAACATGGAGCTTGTAGAATTGGCCAATCAGCTCCGAGCTTTGTTCTGATGCCACAGCTGTGTAGGCAATCATCTTACCTTTCATTTGGTAGTTTGAGGGKGTGGGAAYTTTGTTTAGCCAATCACAGGCCAAAGATGGAGATGGTCGTCATTTGTAGGTGGATAGCTCCATCCAGTGGACAAACAAAGMAATGCTCACAGGAAAACGTTTTCCATAATTTTTTGGCCAGTTAGCTGACTAAACATGCTGATAAAATTAAAATATATTTGTCATTAAGTGTTTCGAGTGCTTCAAGACATGGAAGAGTGTTTTTTGTGGCCAGGAGAAGTAAAAAATGTTTGGATAAAAACATTTCCGGTCGGCCCTTTTGAATTGCTAATTTCRTCATATTTGAGGATATCAAACGTAAGTGAAAAACAATTATGTTTTCACTGCTGGTGGTTTTATAAGCTGTGTGGAATGCAATGATTTGAAAAAAAGGATTTTTTTTATTGCTGTGAGTAAATATGGATGGTAGAATGTTTTATTTTTTAGGGTTTTTTATCTTTAATTTGAGCCCAGAGTGAAGTCTCTGTGTTGAAGCATTTAGAAATTACAGTGTTTTAGACAAAGTGTACATTAAATAAAACTAGCAACACATTACATTCATTTTTATTTACTTTAAAGAAGTGAGGAGTAGGGAGATGAAAAATTATGGTTTTTTTATACTGAGACTGGATGAGTAGTTCTCAGCAAACTGCCGACTTCAAAAGTAGATCTTGGTTCAAAAAAGGTTGGGCACCCCTGATTTAGAAAGTTGCTTCGCCTTGTTCACGTGCTTTCACTGTTCTGTTTGTTCCTGCAGGAGTGCAGTCAAACACCCGACGTCTCACCGCCCCCGGATGCTCCTGGCGGGTCGCCCCGACTCAGGTCAGACCTCCCACCTGGCCCCCGCCGTACTGCACGCTCTGGAGCGTTTCACCGTTCACAGCCTGGACTCTGCCGTGCTGTTTGGGGTCAGCTGCACCTCCCCGGAAGAAGCCTGTGCTCAGGTGACTCCTTAGAAAACCATCATTTATGTCATTTATGAATCTGAATGTAATTTCATTTCATCTTTTTTTTTATTTTTCCTTTAACTTAAAGATGCATTTACGCCTCTTAGGTGATTATATTTAATTTTTTTAAATAATTTTTCCCACAAGTCTTTTTATTTCCATGTGTTGCTTTTACATTTCTCTGTCTCCTGTTTTTACTTCACCTTATGCATTTCTGCTTCATTATGCAAATAAGGTGGGCGGGGCTTTTTTTGGTCAGCTCCTCTCTTATTGGTTAACAGACAGGAAGGAGCAGGATCCATGTGCAGATCTACTGTGCATGCTTGTGCTGCCTGTGAAAAATGTATACATGGAAATAAAAAGACTTAATAAATAATTAAGTAAATAATTAAATATAATAATTTAAGAGACACAAATTGATTTGATTTGATTTATTGATTTAACAGGAAAAGATGACTAAAAATCAAGCCTGACAGCATAATTGCTGTTTTACAGCAGGTTCCTGTTCTGCARCACATAAAACACTCAGAAATACAGCATCACAATCACATCATTATACACCATAGACACAAAGAAAAACAAGCATACCAAATTTCAGGAAGGCAGCATTTGCAAAATAGGACGTCTAAATATGAGCACAACAAAAAGTGTCCAGCAGATGGCAGACAAGATTCTTCTTAAAGGGCTGTAGTTTTGAAATTGACTTTATGTTTTGAGGAATGTCATTCCATGCTTTGGTATAAACATAGAAGAAAGACCTCTGGCCGTATCAGTTTTTAAAAGTTGGTAATATCAGTTGTCCTTTTGTAACAGATCTAGTTGAATGACCACTTGCAGAATTTGATTTGGGCAGCAATGCACAGAGAGTTCCATAATTGGCACCTTGGAAGATCTGAAAATATAAATTAATACCACTATACAAAACATAATTCTGAAAAGTCAAGGCATCAGACAATGAAAGAACTGTACAGTGATGCGTCCAACCAGGAAGTTTTTTATGAATTTTGTAGGCCCTGTTGTAGAGCCTAACTATGGGTTCTAAGATTTCATTTGTTGTAAGAGACCAAACAGGTAAACAGTACGACATGGTTGAGAGTATAATGGCATGAAGATAGATATTTGAAACAGAAGATGTTAGATTGGATCTAATTTTTGAAAAAACATATAATTTCTGTTTCAACTTAGTGGTTAAGACTTGTACAATGCATCTTTAAGTAAAAGGAAAAATAAAAAAATATATTTTAAAAAACAGTAAAATATAAATTATGTTCTAAAATATCGGAACTRAGCTGGAAAAATATATATGAAGGTCAATTCAATTATAAAACATGAGGTAAAGTTCTCTCTATTAAATTTTATTGGTGCATTTTAAGTGTATCTATTTGTTGGTCCATTTGTATATTTCTGCTTTTATTTTGTAATTATGTCAGTTTTGCTCCTCCATATTGAACATGATGAAATATAAAACGACAGCTTACCTCGCATGTTATTTTGGACATGATGAACTAAACTAAACGTCTCGTTACTGACATCATGTGGTGATATCTGAAACTGCAGCATGAATTAACAAAACACTTTCGTTTATGAAACGTCACGAACCGGGTTGTCTCTCCTGATCAGGTGTTCTGCGAGGCCAAGCGGACGGCTCCCAGCATCCTCTACATCCCTCACATCCAGCAGTGGTGGGAGACGGCGGGGCCGGCACTCAGGGCCTCTTTTCTCAGCTTGTTGGAAAGCATCCCCTCGTTTTCTCCCATCCTGCTCCTCGCCACCTGCAGCATCCCCCACCAGCAGCTGGACCCAGAGGTGAGGCCTGAACCTTCGAGAGTTATAATCGAATATGAGTTTTTTTTTTTTTTTTCACTTTTGAGGTAAAAAAAAACCAGATATCCCACAAAATAAATAAAGAAGCTTTTAACTATTTGAAACTCTTCTTGCTTTATTCTCAGATTCAGTTTTTGTTCCGTGAGGAGTATGGGGAGGTGTACACCATGAGTGTTCCCACCAGGAAGGAGAGAACAGATTTCTTTATTGATCTCATCATGAACCAGGCGGCCGAGCCTCCGCCCTCCAACAATAAAACAAGTACGTGACTCTGGATTCCTCAGATGCTTCGATCCTGAGTCTTTGTTTTCATATCGGTCGACGTCACAGAGTGTCAAATAAATAATAAGAATCGACTGATTGAAGCACTTTTTTAAAAATGTTTTCAACTTTTTCTCTTGTCAGTAGCTCCAACCGTAGAGGTCCTCCCCGTGGCTCCTCTGCCTCCCCCTCGACAGATGTCCGAGCAGGAGCGCCTCCGTTTGGAGGAGCAGGAGGAGGACGTGCTGCGAGAGCTCCGCCTCTTTCTCCGGAACGTCACGGAGCGCCTGATGCTGGACCGCCGCTTCAAGGCCTTCATCGAACCGGTCGACATCGAGGACGTACGAAAGACTTTTTGTTGAGTTCTGTGGTTTTGTTTAACTCAGCAGTTATGAAGTGTGTGTCTTCATCAAGGCTTCGGTCCTGCAGGTGCCAGACTACCTGTTGGTGATCAAGAAGCCCATGGATCTGTCCACGCTGCTGAGCAACGTCGATGAGCAGAAATATGTCACCGTCGGCGAGTTCGTGGCGGACGCTGACCTCATCTGGCAAAACGCTCTGGAATACAACCCTGACAGCGACCCCCTGGGTGAGGACCCAGACTCAGTCCTTGCATGTGCAAATTCACACCGAGTAGTCCTGGATTTTATTTGTGACTTTATTATTTTTTAGTTAATTCTCTTAAAGACCCATTTTTCATTTCAAACAGAAACAAATCATTTCATGTATAAAATATATCTAAAAAAAAAATCAAGATGGTAACAAAAATGTAGGTTCAACAAAGATTTGTTTGAAGTATTGAACTTTAAGTTTGACACGTTTTAAAATCTGTGGAAAACCTTTTGTGTGTCAGATCGCCACATCCGTCATCGCGCTTGTGCCCTGAAGGACACGATGAGAGCCATCGTCAGGGACGAACTGGATGAAGACTTTGCGAGAGTCTGTGAGGAAATCAGAGAGTCTCGTGTTCAAAGAGGTGAAAATAAACTGTAAAACAGAAAGTGGTGTTATGCTAAAAACTAACATTCTTCTCATATAGATTGCTTCATTTGTTTGCTGCTTACAATACTTAAGGAAAACWTCTGAATCACAAACAAAGGCTTTTATTTTGTGGCAGCTTTATCGTACAGGACTGGGATGAACCAACAGACTAATGGCGTCTACAGATCAGTGTTTTCCAGAAAGACTCATAGGCCACGAGGTAGGTTTAGCTAAAAACTAAAAACTTTATTAATGGAAACAACAGAGCAGGTTCCTTTTATCTCATCAGTAATAYAAAGATTCATGAATAGGGTAGGAAAAATACTTTTTTCAAGTCTAAAAATATATATTAGACATTGTTTTTAAAATCACATCTCATTTATAGTGATTTTTGTTAAATTTTTGAAAAGATAATAGCGTGAACGCTTCACAAACATTCACACACTATCATTTTTTCTTCTCTAATTTTAGCTTCTTTTTTTGCTAATTTAGGCTTTTTTCCTGCTGTTTTAGCTATAATTCAATTCAGTTTATTTATATAGCGTCAAGTCACAACATATGTTGTCTCGGGGCACTGTACATTAAAAGAATAATCTAAAGAAGAAACCAGCAGATTGTGTTGAATCACTTCATCAGTCTCCCATCCTGAGCAAACGGTGGAGAGGAAAAACTCCCTGCTAATCAGGAAGAAACCTCCAGCAGAACCAGGCTCAGGACAGGAAAGAGACACAGACAAACACAGAAGAACTGGTCCAGGTGCACCTTCCAGGAATTATCTGGTGAATTAATTATGAATTAACTAACTGGTGAGTGCGATGTGCTCCTGCTCTCAGTAAATAAAGCAAAACCACTTTCTTTATTTCATCCAACATTAAACAGAGACCAGCTGAGGACAACCAACAGGCACGTCTCCAACTTGAAAAGTTGGGCGCATTTTTGATGCTCAAATCACGTTCAGTGTGAACGCAGCATTCATTGGCGTTTGTTCTTAATGGCTTTTTTTTTCTTGCATTGCTTTTAGTTTTATACTTGAAGTAGTTTTAAAACCAGTACTTTAATACTTTTATTTGAGTAAAAAGCTCGAGTTGATACTTCCAAAAGGGTGGTTTTAAACCCTAGTATCTATACTTCTTCTAATGAATGTATTTTTCCTCACCCAGGAGACATTTCAATATAACAAATCAACTCAATTTTTTAAACAAACCCCTTGATAT